GGGATTTATGAACAGGACTTTTGTTTTTCAAGGTGAAACAGGAGCTCTGGCCCTGGTCTGTTCAGCATTCAGCTCCATCTCTGTTGAAACAGTGAGCCTCTGCAGCACTTTGTCCTCACCACAGTGTAATGCAGAAAAAGACACCTCTTGTCCTGGAAACTGGACTCCGGTTCTTTGTCTCCAGGCTGTGCACTTGAACTGTGCCACTGTCTCTACCCACTTTTATCTTTTTGCTTTGCCTTATTACACAATGATAAAAATTCTAAAAGCAGGCAAAGGTTGCTCTTAAAATGCCTCTCATCTAAAGTATTATCCAACACCTGTGGTGACCTGTTTCACGTCCTGCTAATGCGAGTGGTGCCATGGAAACCAGCTCCTGCTTGCTCTCAAGGTTTGGACCAGATTTTGAATCAGATGTGGTTCAGATCTGATGTACTTTTTTATCCCCACTGTTAAAATGACTGAGAATTTTAAAAAATTGACCAAAGCTTGAATTTAATGTAAATACTTTTTAATGCATTTTTATTACATAAACACAATTTTCCCACTGGTTTAAAGATGTGTTTTACTACAGTTTTACTCATTTTTTTTTTATGTCTTGTGACCTGTGCTTTGATCTGAAGTGGTGCCTACATTTAAACATTCTTTCTTTGGGGTGAAACATCTCTCCGTTTCATGTCTGCCTTCTCGTGCATGGCTGTCAGACTGTGAGTAATCAGCATGATGAGTACAAGTGTGGAGTCACGCACTGTGTGGCATCTTGTTGCAGTGTGAAGGGAAGCCCAGAGATGTCACCCGCCCAACCTTCTACCTCCACAGCATGTCCGTCTTCTTCTCTCCATCCGGCATTAGCGAGGTCGCCCTCATGTCCCTGCAGTGAGACGGACGAAGGAAGGATGACTTGCTTCCTGTTCCCTCGTTATCTTGTATTTCAAGTTGAATTTAAAGGGTTTGCTCACAGAAAACAACAGGAACCCAGCTGGAACTATAAAATCAGTAAATAGAAGATCAGAGTTAAAGGCAGAAAAGGGCTTGGATTTCACACAAGCATCTCCACATGAGAGCGTTCTTGTTCCATTTTTTTAGGATGCTTTCTTTTTCTGCGTTCCTTGTGTCCAGGAGTGTGAACCTAAAATGCTGTTTTACTGTTTCCTCCATGTTCCTTTTCATGGCAGCAGAACATGCTGCAGGGCTGAGAGCAGGAAGGAGGAGAGATGGTGCTCTGGTGTTTAAGAACGTTCTCCCGCTGATACATGTCAGCTGCCTGGTACACAGAGTTCCACCTGGCACTGCTTCACACACACAGACACACAAAACACACACATACACACACGTATAAGTAAACACTTGGTTTGTCTCCAAATGGTTTTGTGCACAGGCAGCCTTAAGCGATGTGTGAAAGATTGCATCCCTCAGAAAGAATAAATTTAAAAATATATCATTTTTCATAGTAGCGGCCTGATGATGAAAATGAAGATGATGATGATCAGAATGATGATGATGATGATGATGATGATGTTCAGGATGATGATGATGATGATTAGGATGATGATGTTCAGGAGGATGATGGTTGATTAGGATGATGATGTTCAGGATAATGATGACCATGACAATGAAGACGCCGATGATGATGTTCAGGATGATGATGAATATGTTCAGGATTATGATTATGATGATGATGTTCCAGATGATGATGATGATGATGTTCAGGATGATGATGACAATGACAATGAAGATGATGATGTTCAAGATGCTGATGATGATGATGCTCAGGATGATGATGGTTATGTTCAGGATGATGATTATGATGATGATGATGTTCCAGATGATTATGATGATGTTCAGGATGATAATGATGATGATTATGATGATGATGATGATGAAATTCAGGATGCTGATGATGAAGTTCAGGATGAAGATGATGATGAAGAAATTCAGGATGATGATGATGAAATTCAGGGTAGTGATGTTGATGATGATGATGAAATTCAGGATGACAATGATTATGTTCAAGAGGATATGATGATGATGATGATAATCAGGATGATGCCGATGATAATGTTCAGAATGATAATCTTCAGAATGATAAGGACGTTCATGATGAAGTTCAGGATGATGATGATTATGAAGAAATTCAGGGTGGTGATGATGATTATGAAATTCAGGAGGATGATGATGATAATCAGGATGATGACGATGATAATGTTTAGAATGATCATTTTCAGATTGATAATGACGATCATGATGAAGTTCAGGATGATGATGACAATCATGATGAAGTTCAGGATGATGACGATGATGATGTTCAGGATGATGATGATGATGACAATGATGTTCAGGATGATGACGATGGTGATGATAATGTTCAGGATGATGATGATGAAGTTCAGGATGACGATGGTGATGTTCAGGATGACAATGATGACAATGATAATGATGAAGTTCAGGATGATTATGATAATGATGATCAGGATCATAATGATGATCATGGGTTTTATTGGCACTGCCTCCATTTAAATGTAATAATCAGTCAGTCCCACATATTACACATTTTAGTGAAGAGCACTGAGAGGAACTACTGAGCACATTCCCACGATGTTGAGTCCAACACAATAAGGTACCCTTGGTACACTTCAACACATTAAAAATGCTTAACTTCTCAAAAAGAGAATTCAGTTAAAAGCAACTGTAACGTTTATCTGCACGTTTTTAACATGTGCTAGAGTAAACAGAAGCTGTCAAAATTATATTGTTTTGTTTATTTTACAAAGAATCTGTCTCTGTAGAACAGGGGTGCCCAAAGTGGGGCCCGTGGGCCAAGCCTTTTGATTTAGCCTGCCAAACTGTCCTCATTACTATATTAATATTTCCTTTGAAGAATCAATGTGTTTACACTCAAAACATTCTAAGTTTAATGTTAGATGGAAAGTTGGCCCAATGACTACTGTAATGACACTACACAGCTGGAGTGACTAATTTGTGCAATAATTTTTTTTTATTTTAATAATTTATATTTTATTTTGACAGACTTCATACTGTCTCTCGGCAGTTTCTTGCTGCTGAATAACTTTTCCTTTGACAAAGCTGAGCATCATGTAGGTGCCTATCACCCTTCTTGAGCATGCCTAAATTTTAACTCAGCATATCTGAAAAATTAAGAAACCATCATTAGGATTTTGTAAGGAAACTGTTCTCAAACCTTAGATTCACCAAAATATTGAATAAATGTTGAATAAATATGGAATAAATGACAACAGTCTCTAATGGGCCAGTAAAATCTATAATTTTTTTGCACAAGTCACGCCACCTGTCAATCAATCCAGTAGGCACGTCATCAACTGACCAGTCAGCAACTGACCAGTCGGCGACTGACCAGTCAGCAACTGACCAGTCAGCAACTGACCAGTCGGCGACTGACCAGTCAGCAACCTCAATTTGTCCTGAAGTGAACGTCCCTTACTTATAAAACTGCAGTGGTGTTGCATTAAGAACGCTTTGCAGTCGAGAGATTTCAATAATAACAGAGTTTACATGTTTTGCTTCATGTTAATCTACTGTAATAAACCTTTTTAAAATACACCAGAATGCAGGAAATGACATCTACTTTATTCAAAATTATCTGGGGGAGGACCTCCCACCACCATCACCAACACAGCCTGTTCTGTAATGTTCTTTATGCAGAATGGAAGGATAAATAACTGTATAATAAATAAATGGACTTTATTTAAATAATTATTTGCATTTCATGTATTATATTATTGCATTTGGCCCGCAGCCCTCTGATAGATTTTAAATTTGGCCCTTTCAGAGAAAAAGTTTGGGCACCCCTGCTCTAGAATCTGTCTCTCTAGAATCTGTCCCTCTAGAATTTGTCCCTCTAGAATCTGTCTCTCTACCTCTGTCTTACCTTAAAAGGTCAGATAGAGGTAGAGAGACGGTTAATCATCATCACAGGTGTCTTCAAAGTTTTCAACAAACGTTCAGGTAATTTAAAGACAACAGACGTTCCTCTGGGTAGTTTGGTATCAGTGTGTGCAGCAAACCTAACAGCAGCCTGCAGAGTTCACACTGTAAAGGTGAAGGCTGCAAGAAGCAGCTCCATGTTCCTCTGACCACAGCCGACAAGGATATTTAACAGTTGAAGGTTCATGGGACTGTAGCCAACCTCCTAAGATGTGGATGCAAGTGAAAATGCCACCCCAGGTTTATCAGGCAGATAGTGGTAGAAAAAGTCTGGAAAACATCCAGAATAATTCAAGCTGACCTCCAGGGTGAAGATAAGTTGTGTATGTGTAGATTCGTTGTACTCATGCACCTCAGAGGGTCATCACTGTCAGTATGATGCTGTCAGCCCTAACAGACCTGCAGCGTCATTACTCAACATTACTCAACATTACTCAGCATTACTCAACATTACTCAACATTACTCAACATTACTCAGCATTACTCAACATTACTCAGCATTACTCAACATTACTCAGCATTACTCAACATTACTCAGCATTACTCAGCATTACTCAACATTACTCAACATTACTCAGCATTACT